CTCGAGGGACTGGAGAGATTCTGAAAGAGCAGCTGAATTAGTACGCTAAAGTTATACAGTTACCTATGAAGTATTTGTGAGTATTTTGAGCAGGCGTGGACTCGAACGTGAATAACCTTGATAAATCTAAATGGATTATTCTACCCCAAAATACTACTCATAACTGGAATTAGCAAAGAAGATATAATTTGTTCTTAAAGGATCAACTGCTGTTACACTCTGCACCACTAAGTCCGATTCCTGACCGCTAATTGAGGATGTTTCGCCAGTATGAGAAGCAGAACTCGACCATTTTGAGGATTCGCAGGCTCAAAAATACGAAGGCGTCAACCAGTCAAGCTGATGCCACTCAGTTGGAGATCCCCACCGGGGATTTCTAATCACTGGAACGCGTTCGTCTACACTGGTTCCAACAACGGACCGTTTCATAAAATTTGAATGATAAGGGAATTGGTTTGACAGTCACAGGTGATGCCACTCAAGTAATGAGTTGATCAAATAGATTGAAGTAAGTTTAAATAGGAAGTGTTAGAGAAAGTAAGGCCAATTCCAAAAGACAGTACATGTTTTTAAAATACGTGTTTTTGCCCCAAGTAGCTTGATATATTCAGTTCAGTAAAGCATGAATTGCACACGAACAAAACAGTCTCCTCAGTTTCAGTTGCATGGGAACCTATTCACTGGGAGGGGGCTAACAAGTTGCATGCGTCCCACGGGTGACTGCCATTGGGACGATAGCTTTACTTGATACTCTGTCCTGCAGATCATATACATTCTGTGCGCTTAACATCTGTTTTGGAGGATCGACTTAGTTGATAGCACTTGTAAAACATTTCATTCAATGTTGACCTAGAGATTCGCACGGTTACAACACAGTTAACGAGTACTAATCGACAGCATTATTTTCACACCGCCTCTCATAATTTTCTAAGCAAATGCAATTGGGCGACTCAAACAAGGTGCAGCACATCGTTTATCGGGCATCCACACACTCATCTGCCAGAGCACACAATCCTCTTTGCATATGCTTGCCATGTGAATTGCATTTCGGCTTGTGCGACCAGTTGGTTGATCACGTGCCAATCGATAAAAGAGAGTCAGCATGAGCATCTACAGGCTGCCACTAAGTGCTGGCCTAAGTAGCAACAGTCTGCTCAGCCTGTGTGAGTGGCCAAAAGGAAAAGTTTAGTTTTGCGCTCACTCATTGGTCGGATGGCTTGATTCTGGTACGAGATAACTGTAAAACACTATTTTTCCACAAACCACTTTCACAGGGTGATTTTATTGGTAAGTTCTACCCGACGCGACAAATTCTCTAACATCTACGCAGTTGCAAATTGTATGAATCATACTCATAAACTAGATTCATTCGGAAGTAACACTATAGAGTGTAGTAAATCAGGGAACCTTGAAACACCAGCTTAGTGTAACCCCGCTTTTTCCCTACACACTATAAGACATCTNGCCACTATGATTCAAAGTTGCATCAACGCGCTTTAATTTAAATCAGTGGGGTGTCAGCAGTTGAACAAGTCTTCCTTGTGAACTTTCGGACACAGATTTGATTAATCATGTGTTCTTTGTATGTTCCACCGTGCTCACTCAAACAATGTCCAATATTTTACTCCGGGTTAAGAAATCAACAAGAAAGTTAGCGAACCAAGACGCTTTTTCAATCATGCAATCAGGATGAAGGTTGAAACTCATCCTAAAAATCAAGACCAGTAAGATTCAAGTGTGTTGACGGACCGGCATTGATGTTTCTTAAGTGGACGCTGGACTACTCAAATGTATTATGAGGGCCCAGAGGAAACAACAATGTTGAATGATCCTCGTAGATCGTTTAACACAATTGATACCATTCTTTAATCGCGTGGATTTTTGAATTTCACTGATCTGCCTTCTCCCAGGGAAATATTTTGTCAAGTAACTTGGTGAAACGAAAACTTCCAGCGGACATGGCTAATTAATCCTAACCTGCAAGCTTAACCTGGGCACTGTGTTGTCTACATGTTGAACCTAAAATGCGATGTTACAAGTGAAATAAGCTGTGACAGCAGACGTGAAACAGCCGTGAATCTCGTTAATTTTTTAAGCAGAAGCCTTTCCCTTTCGTGACTACCTTCTCCAGATTTCTGCCAACTTGCACCATGAAGAGTGGAAGATACAGTGTGGTACAATCCGCAGGTTTTCGCTTTTCGATTCCCTTGCTAGTTGTAACTTGAATGTTGCAAATTAAGCCAGTATACCACCTGCATCTTTGTAACCGATGCTGGTAGTGATAGCTCTTCAAATTCATGATGTTTCCTTGCCAGCGTGTATTCGCCAAACACTCTCATTTGCATATTAAATTGTTTTTGGCGGGAAAGCGAATCTCCCGTTTATGGTTGCCTGGTCATTTCACTAAGTTGGAGGACACTGTCATATACGGGAGATTCAGCTGGACCAAGTTTAGTCCACGATCATAACCAAATTTGTAAGCAAGTTAAATTTTCGGGAGAATTCTGTCCAATTTGGGTTCACGTAGAACATGAGGTTGACGGACCTCAACGACTGCGCCTACTTGGTCAACCCCAAAAAGGCTGAAACCGATGACGAGCCAAAGATTTCCTAGCAACATTATCATTAGTGTTTTATATCCTCCCGTGTTATTTTCATAGAGGAAACTGCTCACAAGATTGTTGAAAATTCTTCGACAGCTAACGACCGGTTTCTCCCTTCTTGGGGTTCAACAGGTAGGCCCAGTCCCCGAGTTTCCGCCAACCTTATGTTTTACTTGAACCCAAATCGGACTGTTTTCGAGCTGTCGAAGAGTTTTCAGCAACCTTGTGAGTAGTTTACTTCATGAGATATACTGCGATATCTCGAATATCGTGCCAACTGAAACATGAGGTGGCCTGTGTGCAGCACATTCATTTGTAGAATATCATAAACGCGAGCTTCAGTTGAGTCCCCCGTGAAAACCAAATTGATTTGCAAATGGGTGTATTTCTCCTGTATAATGTTTTGTTTAGTAGGACTACCCATCTGAAAAGGTGTGAAAAAGGAATTCAGATTTTTCCGTTGGATTACCTCCAACAGGCCTTTTTCCCAAAGCTAACGATTCACTTCGCCCTAACGCGACCCCAGCCTAGCAGCTGGACTGGCCGCTTGTACAACCTCCTTCAGAATGACATCGACAGCCTAAGGATTTAGTTTTTTAATTCCTTTTTTCCGACAGTACGTAGGCAGTACCTCAATTTCGCCTTCTCTCAGCCTGTGCTTATTCGCAGCTGAGTTCGGTTGGCCCCCTATACTTCATCCTTTGGGAGCTGAGCTAAGTGGGAGTAATGTCATTGAAATGCTCATCCTTTGGAAGTTCTTACACCGTGCAAAACCTTTGAGGACCAAGTCGCTAGATGAAGAGGACAACACTGACAATGACGATTTATATCTTGTGGGGCAAAGCGCCGTGCTCATAAAATGAGTAATATGCGGTCGGGATTCAACAGATTGATACTAACGCACTTTGCACTGGTTGACAGAGAAAACTGAAATTCGGGTTGAACTCTAAACTGTGTACATGCTCTGTGAATACATTGCGGTTGCGCAGCACGCAGAACTTTGTTGTTCAATACAACACTTGCATCTAATATAGTGAACATTCTACAGCGCGGTAATCACGAATTCTGATTTCATCCTGCGCTAAAAAGCAGAAAAACAACGTCCATTGTGAACCCCTCCACACTACCAACGATATGTAAGTAGGCCATAGTAAGAACAAGCTCACAAGATAGCTGAAATCTGCATCTGAATAGTCGTGATCACATGATGTGCATTCCGTGAATGATGAGTGGCTGAACGGCTAAGCGTTAACGCTACTAGCCGGGAGGTCGTTG